GAATGTATGCAAATTCATATAAGGCCCTAAGTTGTATGAGCTCAATGGAAGAAAAAAAATGGTCTACATCATTAGAAGTTACATTTGGTAGACACATTAGGGATGGATGTATTTTAAGCTATATTCTGACATCAGTTAAGTTTAACAATTTTAACCGATTTGAGTAGAGATTAAGTCTACGCTTCACAGCCACTCACCGACGATTAAGTTACACTCAAAGCTAAATTCCAGGAATCCCTAAAGGACAACCAAAACTGACATATGTAAAGACATAGTATAGAATATAACAAGGTTTTAAATTTCCAGTGAAGTGGATCACTACGACAATAGTACATGTTAGGGTTAAGGTATTGATTTTAAAAATAAAAAGTATTAAATGTTTTTGTAAAAAAAAAAAATATTATTGTGGTTCTGAACATTCAACATTCACTAATATAACAATGGGTTAATTATTATATAAAGATTTCTATTAACATTAAAGGTGTTTGATTGAGTATGCGCTGGTTGAAAATACAATAAAGGACATCCATATTTTATGTGAAAGGTGATCGATATTAGGGCATTTAGCATTACCAACGAACTCAAGCAAGCCACTGAACTGGACTGGGTTGATGAGGTTACTTGACGCTGCAAAAGACGACTCACATTGGCCAACTAAGTAAGAAAGTATTTATTAACATTATGATAGTTTATAAACTGCCAGCAAAAAAGATGTGGAGAAGAATTAGTTGAAAGTGAGCTAGCTGAAGCACTATATACCTGGAACGATATCTACAAAGAAGCAACAAATAGAGTCAGATTTAGAAGAAATATTAAATGGTGGACAATGAACAATAGTAGTAGTAGTGGCTTATAGATTACGAGATGATGTATATTAATGTGAGGGGGGAAAATGTGTCTAATAGGAAGCTGTGTGCTAAAATTTAGAGTAAGTAAATCTGTGCGTAGTGTTCAAACAATCGTTGAGTACTATTTATAAAACTTTTTTACTTCAAAGGGCTATATGTTGTTTTAATGAAAACATAAATACGAAAAATATAAACTCATAATTAAAGTTTGAAGAAAACTTTGATTTTTCTTTTACATATTACGAATTCATTACTTAATAAAAAGAAAATCGTGTGATTGACAGTTTAGTTGAGGTACTTAAAAAATCATTAACATATATGAGGTCTTTTCTGAGTACTACTGTTAACATTTTATATGTATTATTTTATTTAAACCAGTTAATATATTCATAGTTTTTTTAATAAAATAATTATATTATAAAATCTATTGTATATTTACAATGTTTTCATTGCAAAAGATATCAACTCAGTTCAAGAAATGAAGAATTTGTCTTAATAATGAAAATAAGCTTTAGACTTTTATCTATGCATAGATAGTTCCGAATGTATTTAAAAAAAAAAAGTAAAGAGAATCGTTATATGCCTCAACCCTCATCTGCCCTAAAAACAAAATAAGCAAGCACGAACAGAAGATAGCACTAAAGCGCAAATGACGAACAACTCCAAAACCCGATAAACGTGCACGGTACTAGCTACTACCACAGCCGAGCCGAGCAAGCGAGCAAACAACCATTGATGACGTAGCGCTGACAACATGGCACTCAAAACGAACTATAATCAAATGGAATGGAATCGACTCCAAAACGAACCAACCAACGTTTCTGTGGATGATGAAGTGTGTGTGCAAAGCGGTAGGTAGCAAGCAGCGTAACAGAGCGATGCGTTGTGAAGCTAAAATAGAGCAAAGCAGCGGCGACAGTTGTCAACACGTTTTAGTTTCAAATTTGAAAATTTAAACGACAAAACGCTATCGACAGACTTGTGGACTCGCGGCAATCGCGGCGGTAATCGTAGCAATCGTTCAGAGCTCAAAATGTGGTTACTGGTGCGGATGAGGTTATGCACACACACAAGCGTGTGGAACGATATTTCTTAAAAAATACAACAAATAAAATAAAGCAAATAAACGCAAATGAATACACGTTATTGAAAGCAAAAAAAAAAAAACAAAAAATGTGAAACTCTGAAGCAGAGTAACAAAGGAAACAACTGAATGGACACAGATGCTCAATTGCTTCTGGTTTTGGAACAGAAACATCAGCAACAAAAACAAAAACACTGCCACCACCACAACAACAAGACACACATAATATGAACAAGGTTTGGAGGAAGTAAAGAAAAAAAAACAAATTTGCACAAGGGTAAGCTCGAAATGGTGCCGAAGATTCTTACAGAAAGAAATCCAATGAAGCCAAAAAACACAATGAGAAATAATTTGGGATGTTGATGATCTTCGCCGCTCTGAAATTGTGCTGAAGAGTCTTGCAGAAAGAAATCCACTGAACCCAAAAAAAAAAAAACACAATGAGAAATTATTTGGGATGTTGATGATCTTCGCCGCTCTGTCTTGATTTGCACCGATTGAAGGAAATGGGTACGTGTGCATGGAATTGATGGATAAAGAAAGTAATGTGGTGCAGTTGACAGCTGTAGAAAAACTAAAGCGGAGTTGATGATCTTCGCCGCTCTGTCTTGATGTACACCGATTGAAGGAAATGGGTACGTGTGCATGGAATTGATGGATAAAGAAAGTAATGTGGTGCAGTTGACAGCTGCAGAAACAAAACAAAAGTGGAGGATTAATTATATAAGTGGAGGATTTTTCTTTTTTTTTAAATAAAATATTTTTTTTTTGCAAATAAAAACTTTGTTTAATTTAATAAAATTAAATTGAAAATATTTAACATTAATATTAAGAAATTTGAATGAAAGACAATTTTCTTGAATTGTTATATTTGTTATATTTAAATTTCTCTAGCAACGGCATTGACTGACGCACTGAAACATGCCAGTTACGCAAAACTCAAGGTAAAACCACTCCAACGACAGACGACAGCAGAAGCATTTACACAATTGGTACACGTACAAGCTCTATCTTATTAAAAACCACAACACAAAATGGTTGCCTATGGAGTAAACAACCAAACGTCATAGCAGTGCTGGGTACGAACGAAGTCTCTTATCACTTAGCGCACGAATGGAACAATTCAACGCAGCAGAACAAAATTGGCAAAGCCATAAAATGAGCACGAACTGCTACAGCTTGGAAAAATCGATATGAAATATACAAAACAGCACAGTGGAACGTGAACGTGAACGTAGTTTTATGAGTGGGAATTGTACCCAAATAGCAAGCAACCGAGTGTGCCAAGAGTCGAGTCTAACACAAACCAATATTGCCCATGGAACTGTGGAAAACATCAGATATATACACACACAAAGAAAGAGATAGCACATCCAACGTGGCTGTAGCTTTGACTGTGGCTGTACACTGCACCAAATTGGACACACCATGCCAGCGCATCAACAAACAGCAGCAGCAGCAGCAGCCATAATTTATCATAAAAATTGCTGTAGCGGCCGTTGCCGTTGCTATTGCTGTTTGATGGCTTCGTTTTGTATCCATATATACTACACTTCCCTTTGGTATTGCTATTTGTGACTGCGTGCGAACGGCGAACTGAGAACTGCAGACCAAGACTCATACCAACATTGTTACTTCATCAGCGAAATTGAATATGGAATTCGTGTGGCCCAAAAAATGAGAAACAACAAAATTTTTGCCTGCCGGAATAACTAACCGAAAAATGATTTGGTTGCTTCACTGCTTGCTTGCTTGCCTGCCTGCCTGCTTCTGCTGTTGTTGATGTTGTTGTTGTTGTTATTATGCCGCCGAACACAAGCACAAATTTTTTCGAATTGCGTTTTGTGTTGTTATTCGTAACGTTCCGCGCCGCTCCGTTATTATCGTGTTGTTATTATTATTATTGCTGTTGTTGTTGTTGTTGTTGTTGTTGTTGTTGTTGCTTTAATTGCTACTGGTGGTGGTGCTGTGACGCAGGTCACATTTCATCAGATCAGTCTGTCACTGATTTCGCATGCTTGGTTAGTGCCCAAAATGGAGTGCTTTTTCAGTTTTTAGTAATCTTTTTATCGATAACATTTCAACATTTCTCACCAACACTCAGCATTCCACTCAGTATTTTAAATCCAAAGTCAACTAGCAATTTATGTTCCAAAACGAACTTTACCCACTTTTTTTTTTATTAGAAATTCAAAAACATTTTTCAAATATAAAAAGCAATAAAATTAAATAATACTTTTCCATGACTTTCTTATCTAAGCTATTGGCATAAACTCCAAATAAGCTTATGATGCCATAACCCAATAAACCAACTCAGCAAAGTTAAATAAAGTTATATTCAGTGTTCCAACATGGTTAAAAAATATTAGCAACCAACCAACAGTCAAATTACCACATTTTCAATAGCTCAATGCACATCAAGAGCTACAACAATAACAACAACAACGACAACGACAACTTGCCATCAACCAAACAGCAGATATAATCTTGTGCAGGCACAACACAACAGTTAAAGCAGCTGCTCATCCGGTTCTCGACAAGAAAATGGTGGACGGTAATGGCAACAACATCGATAGCAACACAAAGCAAAGACAACAACGACGTCGACGTCGTCGATATTTAACCACGACACCAGCACGACGATAACGAAGAGTACAACCACGACTGCAAGCGTCAACCAATCAGCCACATTTCAATGAGTCAACAATGTCAATATAGCAACGAATGTAAATCTGCTTCCGAACAGAACAAATGGAATCGATTCGATTCTATAGCAATTTAATGCATAAAATACCCATCTACATATTTCAATGCATGCGGGGTGAAGCACATAACCAAAATAGCGTACTATGTACAGCGACAGCAGCTATGACTACTACAACGACTGGCACCCTTGGACGTAAAACTTGCACAATCAATCGAAATCTCTCAGCGTGTTCATCCTAACCTCACATTTAGTGCAATGGAAAATTTTCTCGACTCATTTACAATTTCCCTCATCCACATGAGAGTGGAACCGTTTAGTTTCTATTGCCTCCGGCACATACCGTACCGGGCGGGGCACTTACCTTAATGCCAACACAATTTTGTATTTTTGTGACTAGTGGTTCTTTATCTGCAGCATAGCTGTTCAATATTGATATACATTCCGTATCCGGAGCCAGACACAGACGACAGCAATTTTGTCGCACTCGTGACAGCGTTTCATCCGACATTTTGCAAATTGCCACTCAAGACCACTTTGGGAATTTCTCCAATGCCGTTGTGTAAAATTTAATAATTTCTATTTTTCTATTTGCAGAAAATGTTAAATAAAATTGTTTCTTAAATTTATTATTTACGTTTTTGTTACTCGCGGTTGTATTGTTTTCACTTTTCAAATATTTTTATTGCAATTTTGCTTTTTCTACTCTTCACCCAGTTTTATATATTTTTTCATCACTTCCCGATTAAACGAACGACGTCCACAACCGCACACAACGAACGCTCAGACTGGATTGCATAAAATTTATGTGATTTGACACAAGAGCTCTCGGCTCTCATGACAACAAATAACGTCAGGAACACATTGTGAATGAAATGACATGTATGAATAGTGGTTCGCAAATAGAAAACAAAAAGATGGGAAACTTACGCTGGAACGTCTAACTTCAAATTGATGAATTGATAGTGGATGAAGTTCACGTACTGTATTATCGAATCGATGTAAATGCAAGAGTTTCTGCATTTCTGCTGCAGTTCATCTTTTATTCAATTATAAATATAATAGTGACAATTATAAATAAAAATGGATTCGTATATATTTTTGTATAGTGGATTCATATATTTTTGGTTCCGTACTGCAATACAAATTGTTATAATTAAAAAAAACAATAATGATAAACATAATAGTAATAACATTTATTGATAAATACAAATAACTTAAGCTTAGCTCAATTTTTAACACATTATATGATGAAACTAAACTTCTACAAAATTAAATATTGGAATCAGAACACTATTCAGAACTTTAAGTTAAGAAAACTAATACTATAATCATATTTATGCATTTAGTTATTAAAAAATTAAAGCTATTACTATTTTAGTAAATAAATTTTTTACATTAGTTTGAAAAAAACAACAAGATCAGCTGGCGTCATAGTGGATTTTTCTTCAATACTTTTTTTGCAATACTCTTATTTGCAAATAAAAATATATATTTAGTTATAAAATATCAGTACTCGTATAATCGTATTTTCTTAACAAAAATAAACTTTTAATTTTAAAAAACGTTTAATTTTTAAAGTTGAACGCAATAATTCGTTTATTTTGAAGCAGCGATTCCGACTTTTACAACACTGCATGTGAAACAAAATATGCGCTGAATGGTTGTTCTATGTGCAACAGTACTTATGACAAACACACAAATTTAAAATATAATTGGTTTATTTTGGTTGTTGTTTGAATATTTTTAATTTATTATAAAGAAAAAAAATAAATGCACTAGTATAAATGTGCTAAAGTCGAAAGTTCATTTATGTAAATGTAGATCCATGTCAATGTATAAATCATATTAGTTCTTCCATTCATTAAGTACACATCTCAGTTATTCTGATTATTTTATATAAATAGTTCGATCGATCCTTTATAATTTTCTATTTATCATGATATTATTATCATGTATTATGTATTTATTATAAATATTTTTGTAGACTTAATATTTTTATTATTTGTTATACTTATATAAATAGAGTATATTTTATCTTATTAATGTGACAAAATTGGATGTGTAATTATACACATAAAAGCTATAGACGATGAAAAATACCTATAAATATATATTTTTCCCGGTAATGCAATTTGATTTCATACTATTCTTGTATGTAAAATAATAATAACCGCATTTGATTTTTATAGCATATAAATATGTATCAGTGATAAAAATAAAACTTTCATTTTATTTTGTAGAATATTGTGACCACTTATATTCAAAACTAAATATCTTAAACACGGGTAATAGCATTCTTTTAGAATGGTTATAATGGACAATAGTAGCTTACGTCGTATGAAATCTATTGTACTAATGTATTTTGTAAAATGGAAAAGAGTGGTAATCATACATATATTTTAAAATGATTTAGAGAGTTTACGAACAGAGTTAAATTCGAACAACAAAAATTTTTATTTCATTTTTAATTTAATTTAAATTTTTTGCGATCATACAGCTGTTTTGATTATTGCCAAATACCCATAATTAGTGGACTTGGAATTATTTTCTAGTACCAACGAGTTGAACTCGTATCCTGCCAAAATTGATGCTCTAAAACTAAATCTTTTTAATACATTTTAATTTTATTTGATGTGGAAAGTGGGTGGCACTTATGTTTTACAACACAAATAATTAAATTAAATTAAATTCCTAAATTAAATTTGTTTCAAACATATGTTTTTAGCATCCCTGGTTTCATGAATTCATACATTTTGACAGTTAAATGGCCGTGCAAATTTTTTGAATATATATTTTAGCCAAAAAATAATTTATTTAAAATTTTTAATTTTTATATTTGAAAAGCGAACAGCTTCTAGCGTATAACTTAAATTTTAATATCACAAGTAACCAAAAATTAGTGGAATATGTCAAAGGTGAGACTTGAGTAAAATTTGGTAGATAGCATTTTTATATATTAAACAATGTATATCTCATTTAATCGTTTTCAACTTTTAGTTAATTGAAATAAAAATTATTCAAACAAAGACAAAAAGAGGAAATCAATTTGAACATGAACTACTTATACCACAATAATGGATGATTCTGTCTTAATTGAGACAAATATCTTGGTCATCAAATAAATTATGGGATTACTCATTGGAACAGTTGGAGGAGAAAATGTTGTTACGACGACATCTGCTTATAATTGTAGTCAAGTATGTTAAACTATGGTACTCAAAAACAACAAAATTATATGCTCAATTTAATTGTGTGTTACTACAGATTTTTCAAAATGTATGTACTTTATTATTATTTTATTTAGTTTTAAGAAAAGAAAACTATTTGCCGTTTCTCATACAGCAAATGCGTCACAAATTCGAGAAAACATTCAAAATATATTTGCTTATAAATGTTTTCACCAAAATCAATTTTAAAATCCTTAACGCAGGGTGGCGTCAAATCACATAAATAATAGCTGGTTGGAGTTGAAACAGTTTTTGCAATTAAATACTTATGATATTAAACTTTAGTTAAGAGGGAAGTTCTGTTGAGACTTTGTTAAGTTAAATTACAAAAAAAACACACTCATTTGCCATTACAATGACGTATTTTTAATACTTAAAATATTTAAACATTCCATTATTTCTTAATTTAAAAGAAATCAAATCAACACCAACAATAAGTACATAGAAACCTCCCTCTCAAGCTCAAATAATTTATTTTGCAAAAACTAACTATTTATTCTATTCGTTCCCATTTTTATTCCTCGTACTCAAATATGAATGAAATGAAGAAATGAAGACGACAGCATAAAAAATTCATAAAATTGCAAATTACTGTCGAATTATTATATCCTTGTCATTTGATTTGATGAAATAATTGGGCTATCATAATTTATTCAGATTGAGTTAAGTTCCTTTGAACATTTCAGAAATAGGGCATTTATAATCTGAGCGACTTTAAGGAAACTTGATTCCACAGTTCTTCTTTAAGAATATGTTGATCCTTAAAGGACAAATACTCTTGGCTATCATAAACATTATTTATGTAAAAGCTAATGAATTGAAAATTGGTAAAACTATTTAAATATTTTTATTTAATAATAATGTTTTTGTTTTGCAGCTTTTTGGGTAGATCCTGTACAAAAGGATATCTATGGCGATATAAAAAATACCTTAAAGGAAATCGAGAATTTGCACTTAGATGTCAGCATAAACGATTATGTATTGGTCGTCGAAAATGATGAGGAAAAAATGGCAAACAACTTCAATAAATGTGAGATTTATTTTATTATGTGAGATTATTATTTTAATTTATGTAGAACGTAATTTATATACATATTATATACATTTGTGTATATTTCAGTTTGTGAAATACTTTCTACAGAAGGAGTTTCAGTTGTTCTTGATTTTACCTATCATATTTGGCAAGAGGGTCTTGAGTTGTTAGCCAAACAAAATGTGCCATATTTGCGAGTGGATCGTCTATTGTCACCATTTTTACAATTATTTGCAGAGTTTTTGCATCAAAAAGGCGGCAATGATGTTGTTTTAATTTTTCAAAATGAGCAGGATAAATATGAGGCACTGCTTCATATAGTCGATGGCTACCGTTTTCGTACACTTCTATTAAATGCTGGCGATGATAATGAATTTGTACAACGCATAGAGAGACTACGTCCTAGTCCATCATATTATGCTATCTTTGCACGTGGTACTAATATGAATAACATATTTGAAAAGGTAGTTTCTTTCTCTTTCTGCTCGAACTCATTTTTAAAATAATGTACCATTTTAGATAAACAAAGGGAACATATTTCTACGTCCCACAGAATGGCATTTCGTTTTTCTGGACCCGCGTGATCGTGGTTTTAAATACAAAAAACAAGTAGAGTTTGCCAACAAATTTACTATGAATGCGAAGAGTTTGTGTAGATCGATGCGAATGAAGGACACTTACTGTCTAAGTGGATTTACAGTGAGTATACTAAATATAAAAAAGTCAAATATATGGAACTGGAATAAAGTCTGATTGTGATTTAAAAAAAGAACTGCAAACATTCCTTAAAATCAGATTGTTTTATTTTAAGATTTTCTGAGAATTAATCTAGCCTAAATTCTTTCACCTTGATCCAGGTAAATTTAGATTAGAATCCATTCACAACCTTATGCTTTATCCCATAATCCATTTTACCTGCTTTCAGGCTGTATCCTAATAAATGTGTTTATATTGTTTCCTATTATTACTTTAGGTGCCCACAATTTACAATAATAATACATTATTTGAGATTATGATTTTGAGTAAATGATTTATTACGATACAAGCTCTATTTTTTTTTCTCTATTTAAGATACAACGTGGCCTTTTGTTGGAGATATTTCGAAGCCTGACCTATTTAAAGCAGTATAATATGGATTGGTTAAACCCTTTGTATATTGATTGTAACGAAACGGAAGTTATTAATCCCTACAAATTGGATTTGCTTACACATTTGGATTTACAATATTTCTTAACGTTTTCTACAGTTCCTGTCGTTGACAACGAGATTCTAGAAGAATTTATACCTCCCATGTTGACATATAATGTTAATGTCTCCATTAACTTTTATTCAAGTGAACATGAGGCTGTAACAGACCTAGCACTTTGGCAAAATGGCGAACTACGTAAGATCAATGAGACTATATCACCTGCAAAACGATTTTTTCGAATCGGAATGACAGAAGTAAGAATCAATAATTGAGTTCAAAATAATGTTTTAAAAATAAATATTTCCTTATATAGGCAATACCATGGAATTATTATCGTCGTGATCCGCGTACTGGTAAAGTAATACTTGATCGTAACGGAAAACCAATTTGGGAAGGCTACTGTATTGATTTTGTGAACACTCTGGCACTCAAGTTAAATTTTGTCTACGAAATTGTTGAACCTACTAAAGGAAAATTTGGGAAACGTAATCCTAAAACTGGCGAGTGGGATGGTATTGTTGGTGACCTTGTAACGGGAGAAACAGATTTTGCTGTCACTGCACTTAAGATGTATTCCGAACGTGAAGAAGTTATTGACTATATTGCTCCTTATTTTGAACAGACTGGCATATCGATAGTAATGCGTAAACCAGTACGTCAGACATCGCTCTTTAAGTTTATGACTGTATTGCGTTTGGAAGTCTGGCTTAGTATTATAGCCGCCTTGAATGCAACAGCTGTTATGATTTGGCTAATGGACAAATACTCACCTTACAGTGCAAGGAATAATAAGGAAGCCTACCCATATCCATGCAGGTTAGTTATAATTTTTTAGTATATATACCATGATTAATAGTTAACGTTTTGCAGAGAATTTACTTTGAGAGAAAGTTTTTGGTTTGCATTAACTTCGTTCACACCGCAGGGTGGTGGAGAGGCACCAAAGGCTGTTTCTGGACGTATTCTAGTTGCTGCTTATTGGTTATTTGTGGTTTTAATGTTAGCTACCTTTACTGCAAATCTTGCTGCTTTTTTGACAGTGGAACGTATGCAAACTCCAGTTCAATCACTAGAGCAATTAGCACGCCAGTCGCGCATTAATTATACTGTAGTTTCTGAGTCCGACACTCATCAGTATTTTATTAATATGAAATTTGCAGAAGATACTTTGTATCGTATGTGGAAGGAACTATCGTTAAATGCATCAGAAGATTATCATAAATTTAGGTTAGTAAGTTAAGGTATATGTTTAAGTTTATTATTAACCGTTTTCTTTATATATAAGAATTTGGGATTATCCAATTAAAGAACAATATGGACATATTTTATTGGCCATCAATGGTTCCAATCCTGTGGTAAATGCTAATGAAGGTTTTCGCAAAGTGAATGAACATGAAAATGCTGACTTCGCATTTATACACGACTCCTCTGAAATTAAGTATGAAATAACGCACAACTGTAATTTAACAGAAGTCGGTGAAGTCTTCGCCGAACAGCCGTATGCAGTAGCAGTGCAACAAGGCAGTCATCTAACTGTTAGTGTTACATCATTTGAGAGTAAAAAATAATTTATATAAGTATGTATTTTATTACAGGATGAATTTAGCTTCACAATTTTGGAATTGCAAAAAGATCGTTATTTTGAGGAGCTCAAAGCAAAATATTGGAATTATTCTCTGCTTAGGGAATGTGCATTGGCTGATGGTCAGGGCGGTATTACGCTCGAAAGTTTGGGAGGTGTCTTTATTGCTACACTGTTTGGTTTAGGTTTGGCTATGGTTACGCTGGGTGTAGAATTGTTTTACTACAAACGAAAGCATATTAATTCTGCAACCAAGAGAGGCGTTATTAAAGTTAAACCGGTAAATGAAGATATTGTGTCTGAAGCCTGGAACGAAAATAAAGACACTAATAAAATAACTCCTCCGCCATTATTTGAGCAACTCACATTTCGTGGTAAGACTATTCCTCCAAACATAACTTTGGGTGATTCGTTTAAGCCAAGGCAAATTAGTAAGAAGATACGTCAGAAACTTAGCGGAGAGGCGACTAATGAAGACCCAAAGTTACCTCCTTACGTAGAGTAGATTCATTATTGTAGTCATGTTCTTGTATTGCACTTTCTTCTAGTTTTGTTTAATTTAAGCACTAAAATGTTTTAAAACATACAAAATTTTTATATAAGATTGCTAAATTCTTATAAATTATAAAAAATGCTTAAAAGCATATTTCAACAAATATACATAATAGTTTTTAATATCGTTATTGTGGTTATAGTATATTTGAGTCTATTGTACAACATTTTTTTATTGATTAAAAGCACAGAGGGTCTTACTATATATAATCTGGTACTGCTTCTAAGAATAAATGCAATGGTTATTAAAAGTTAAATCATTTATTACTTTTGTTTAATTTCTGCTATTATAGATAACATAAATAACGTAAAAATAGATTCATTAAAAATCATTTTAACTCTAATTCCATGTAATTTCGTGTTGGTTAATTCAAATGGTGACTACGTTTGTTTTCTTGTCATTTCTGAACATTTTGATGACGCATCTTCGTTACTTTTTGATGAGGTGCCTCCCTAAGAGTAGTGAAGAGCAGTTCATCTATATTTTGCCTACAGAGAGAGGGGAAAACATTGAAAAAATAAAAAATAATATACTTCTTGGCTAATTACAGTTGTGTCAATAGTGGATTCCCGTTTTGGTTGCATGCTATCCAATATACCAATACTATAATTGACTATTGTCAGTTTAGAGGCATTTCTTCTATTTCTGCTTACAAACTTTAATATCTGCTGATTGTACCAAGCACATAATGTTCTTCTCGTCCAAGAATCGTTCACTTATGGTGCACACATTTTTAAGTCATTGTTTAAGCAGCAGTCAATGGTTCATAAACCATAGTGACATGGCTTGTCACTACTTCTCAGTTAATCATTTTTTATCGTTCCCAAAATTTTCATGACAACACAGAGTGATTATAGATTCCAATAACGTTAGAACGTTGTTGCTGCGTTGTTCTATTAGTATCTTTCATATTATTATAACCGAAGCGGGCTTGGTAGGGCAAACAATTTTTCGATTGAACTCGTACAAAATTAATTTTGGATTGGTTTTATTTATTTATTTCATTATAAAGTTAATTTACTATCAAATTCTGAATTCCTATTATCACCGGAAAACGAGTTCTTCTTTTAATTCTTTAAACAAAATTTATTTTATAATAAATTAATTTCGATAACAGGCACAATAGTATCAAAAAAAAATCTATTGTGAATTTCGTTTAAAAAAACTTGTATATTTCTATGCTTTCGAATCTATTTTAAATCAGCGTTATGTTTAAATTGTTTTAACTCTCAAATAATTGCTTAAATCTAAAAATAAATCACTTTTCAAAGATACGACATATATTAAATAGTTAAACATTTTAAACAATTTGCTCATGTCATTTTAGAAAACATTTTCTTGACATTTGCGAAATGTAGCAGAAAATTCTAATAAAAACAGAAATAAAATTTTTAGTATTTGTTTTGTTTCTGTTTCTTTCTCATTTGCCTGCTCTTTCAAAATTTGAGCGCATAACTCTCCACTTCATAGTCACACAGCGGATTTCTCTACACATTTCTATGTAAAGACAGCGGCTCTTGTAGTCAGCTGGCAGCTTGATAAAGAAGGAATTTTTCATTCATTTGGCAAACGTGAAAGGACGCGGTTTTACTATACGGGTGAAATTAATTTATAATGAATAGTATTTATTACAAACGAAACAGTTAAATGTGAATATTAAATCAACTAAGAACGTGTGAAGTGTTTATCGTTAAGAAATCGTTTATGCATACGCAAGCAATAAGAAATTTTTAAAAATGTTTATAAAGAAAGAAGATTAAAAAGAAATGCTGTAAATTTTGTTTACATAAATAAGAGTACAATAAATTCTATATATATGCAAAAGAATATTCAATTTCCCTCCATAGAAATATTTTATGGAATAATTATTTAAAAGTGCACAGAAATTCTGAAAACGTGTGACCTCTCAATTAATAAAATATTATTACACTTAAAACTTTGCGTCTTCCTCTACCCCATCCCAGCTCCACACACTATCAACAATAACTACAATGGCTACCCATAATAGCAGCAATAATAATGGCAACAACAGCAACAACAATAACAATAATAGCATTGCTGGTGGCGCAACCAACAACGATTTATGGCGCGAGTGTGCTGCTTGGCTTACACGCTGCCAAATCATACAGTCAGATCACAAGGCTAACTGGCCCGACTCTGAAATTCGAGTCCTTGCATTGACCCTGCGCGATGGTGTTCTACTGTGTAATCTGGTCATACATTTGGATCCAAGCATCATCAGTGATATGCGTGACTTTACACGGAAACCACAAATGGCACAGGTAAGTCAAAAAACAGTGGTGATGTTAAGTGCATAAAAAAAAATTTTTTAGAATTGGGCAACTGGGCATCTGGGCAACACCCAAAAATAAATCTTTCCACCCAGATTAATATTGTTTTTGTTTATTCTTTTTCGCATCCTTGTTTTTTTATATTTTTCCATTTTTTTCTATGTCCATTAGGGCAAAATTATGCTGCGCAACTGCTGCCACAGGGGAGTTGCTAGGCAAGAGCTGGAGGGTTGTTAGGCGCAGATAGAATCTTTTCATCTTCTCATACAAAAGCTTCTAAACTATCCCAAAAAAAAAAAAATGACAGCATAGCAGCAACAGTTTATAAAGACGTCAACATAATCAAAACAAATAGTCAGGCACTCGCAATTGGGCACATCCATGCCATCCACAATTTTTTCCCATTGACCGTTGACGACCTCTCAATTTCTCTAATGGTTTTTATTTGTTTATAAAATACGTGTAAATTGTTTTGCTTCACAATTATTTATAAATACAAATGTGGAAATATTTGCCACATAATCGATTTCGGGGAATTTCTAATAGAGTTCAATTCAATTGCGAAAAAGACAGACTCTATATAAGGCAAACATTTATAGTAGATTTTTAACAAAGTGGCATTTAGAAATAAATTTTATTGTTTTTATTTTCTTATTAATTTAAAACAAAAGAATTGCTTAATTAATTTAAAAGAAAGTTTACTGTATTCTGATTTATTATCAGATGAATAGGCTCTCTGTAATATATTGATTGGTTGATGCTTTTCCTCTTCTGTCCAAGTACCGTATAAACGCCCTTGTTATGCTAGACAACCGAAGATATAATAAAGTCTATATTTGGGCTAATATATTCGTATGAAATCCTTAAACTGACTTCATATCGTACCATTTAACATATTTCTATTTGTGTGTCCCTAAATTATGAAAAACGCCTGAAGGGGAATCACCTCAAAATTACAAGTTGTTTCATAAAATTGTATCAATTATTAAAAAAAATTTTTTTAACGTCAATCAAATTATTTTAGCGCTATTCTTATCAGTTCGTATATTTAATTAGTGTCATATAATAGTATAGATATATGCAGTGGTGTAGATAATAGAGGTGTAGTAGATAGATCCTCTCATGTCTAAAACTAATATGTATTTCAAAGAAATTGAGGCATAATAATGTCTTAAAAAATAAAGAATAAACACTCTTTTTACTGAAGAGAAGAGAAGGAAGAAATATGAAGTTTTTAATCGAAAAATAGTTATTTAGTAGAAGGTTCAAATTGGATTAAGATAAATTGAACTGGTTAGCAATAGGTGCCACAGGTTCCTTAAAGATATTAGTTAGTGGCATACCATCTTGTTCGACATTCTATTAGGTTCAATATTTTTTAAGCGTTAGAGATTGGATTACTCTTATCGATTCCGTTATTACGTAGTGTCACATTCCTTTTTTTTTTGTGGAAATGTTGGAATATTAGTACATTTTTTACGTATCAAATTATGTTGAAACCCAGGTTTGATATATCGTTTTTGCGATAGATTTTCTCACAAAGATGATTATATTTTCGCAAGAGAAAATACTGAACGTTCGATAGAAAAACGATAGCTTTAATGAATTTATATCAGATTTGATACTTTACTGGTACTATAGTTCGTAAGAAAATGAATAGTTTCATAAGAAACTAAACATGTTCCAAATATTGGTAATAATATTTGAAAACTTACATTTCCCTGCTGTTGAAGTTCTTGCAAATACCACTACTATCTTAGAGATAACAGTTAAGTGCGTAGTCAAGGCAACCGAACTGGCTTAGTTCCTTTAGAGGCTGAGATCTTGTTCACTGTTGGAGAGAGTTTTCTGTATTTAGCTACTGAATCGATTGCTGCTAGACATTTTATATTTCATGTCCACTTTTTTTGAAAACCCTAGCAAAAAAGGGGGTCTTCATTTAAAATTAAAAATATTCTTAAATGATTATCATATTAACAAATATTAATACATAAAGACCAAAAAAAGGATGGAAGATGTTATAGTTTTAAATGTTTACATTACATGTATACTTTCATATATTTATATTTATATATTGAGGAATTGATACCAATATCATTCTATCCATAAACTAACTATACTTAAAGAATTTTTTTTTAAATATTTATATATATAAATCTCCCTATTAACAAACTTCTAACTATTTCACTGCATATATGTGTAATTGTATATAATGACTTGCATTAAATTCTTAAAAGATTATCTTCTGAAGTATATTTTTGAAGATTAAAACGGATCTAAAAGTTCTCTGTAAGCATAATTTATTTATTTATATAATTTTTTTTTGTGTAAAATAATTTATTTCTTAACATAAAATATCAATAAAATGTTACAAAACTCCATTCATAATTTCCATGTTAAAATACATATCAGTAATGTATGTGATTCATTATTTTATCTATTTGATATCTCACATGTGATAATTATAATTTAAGCATTTTTACCAAATTTGTTTATTTATAAAAAACGTAATAACAGAATACTTATGTTTATAATTTTATTTTTTTTTATTAATAATAATTACAGTTTAGACAAAATATTTGTAGATAGATCGGTTTATTATGAGTTTGTCTAACCACTCACATTTTTTCTTATCACAATATGAAGAAATAGAAAAGTCTATAATAATATATATTAGTTTTTTTTCCCCTTTCTGGATTGAGTTCATAGAGTATCGGTTATATTTCAAAGAAAAATTAAACAGAAAATTAATCGGTTTTAAAGATTAGCAAGTTTTGCAAGAACCATATGATAGCCTAATCGAAAGCTAAAACGCTGTTAGCATATGGTTGATTTGGTGAATTTATAAATAGTATATATTCTCTTGTAGTTTTATAAACTGATATTATGCCTTTAGGGTGTGGTATTGTTATAAAGAAACTCAAAATCTTTTTTACACTAAACGATTATAAATTTTATGGCTTTACGCAATTTATCTAATGACATACATTAGACCGAAACTGCGTCATTATCTCAACAGATAGATAGCATTACTTCTTTGTTTATATATACATATAATATAACTGATATGGTTTTCTTATTCACATCATAAATCTTAAAAAACTAATATATAGGTGATATTGATACCTAAATATTTTGTGAAATACAGTGTTAAATTTCCACCCAGATTATCTGCTCATATCATGCGGTTATCATAAAATAGATCAAGTTAATCCAAACAGTTCTAGAGTGTTACATCAAGAGATATTAATATCTGGTTATTGTTATTGTTATCAATAATCAGAAGCAGGTTAGCTTTGGCACAAAAGATCACAAAATGCGGTGTAATATTAATTGTGTAGTGTTTATTGATTGCAGAAGTAGAGAATTGAGCAGTGAAAAATGTTTATTTTCTTAAGATATTTTTTTTTAAAATTATTTTTATTTTTTTTGGTGCTGTTAGCTGTCATTTTTCTATTCTATTTTTTTTTGTGTTATCAAAAAGACTTTTTCGCTCTGATTGCTTTATCGCTCTGTATGTTTTAATGTATAAATTGGTACTAAGTTGAGTACTGAATGCTTTATTTCTTTTTTGCATCAATTCTTTTCTGTAGACAACTTCACATCTGGCTAGACCAGTGCTTTTTAACGTACGACGTGTGCTCCACATGGGAGCAATTTGATTTTTAAGGAGAAATTAGAAGAAAACTTAAATTTGAAGTAAATTTGATCACAATGTCTCATCGAAATATCGTTTTATTAGGTTTGAATTTTACTATTGATAGTACTTAACTGGATATTCTCTTGTTATTTATCCAAAAGTTTGTATAACCCAAAAACCGGATATTAAATTAAAAGAGTTCAATTATAGAAACTGCAAAATTTTTATAATTGCAGGACCTTCCCGGAATGCTTCTTGAATATGTTATGTAAGGCGATTTGATAAAAATTTTTTATTTTAAGAGTGACGGAAATTTAAGGAAGGTTATCTAAGACAAAAATCTTTAACCTCTTAATTGATAACAAGTTTACTGAATACAAGAAATTAGTAACGACATAAAAATTTTTTTATTAACCTTTGAAAACCATGATTTTTGAACTTTAACCTGTAATTGTGAGGAATGCAGATTTCTGAAAAAAAAAACAGTTTGCAAAATAGAGCTCAGTGGCTGTTGATAATATTAAAACCATTGCCTATAGACAAGCTAAAGAGTCCATCTCGAATTGATCAAAAGCCAGATTTAGCGAGCTACTAATGCTAAACAGAAGTGGCATCCAACTTGTCACAGGGTTTCTCACTGGGCATTGTGGAGTCCAAAAGCATCTATCGAATCTAGGTATTACTAGAGACGATAGTTGTGAACGATAGTTTCTGTCTCACTGTGATAGTCTCGCCAGACTCAGACTTCAGTACTTATCAACTGCCTAACCACTTATAACGGCATTAGGCAACATCTCTCCAAATGACGTCCTTTACTGTTACTTGTCTATGGAACTAAAGTGGATGTGTCACAATAATCCTCAAAGAATGCAGTGACGTGGTGACAAGTTCCCAATCTTTTTATAATCTAATCTAATCTAAAACCATTGAAAAATCAAAATAGAAAAAAATGATTTAATTATATTTTGCACAGTATTGTCTTCATTATATTCTAGATGAAATGATAAATCTCTTGTTGTTGTAAATAAAATAAAATAAAATAAAATAAAAGTAAATGTTCTCATTAAAATACGTCATTATACATTCCTTAGTCCTTTGTCATGTAGAAGTTTTCATTTAATTCGCAAAAGTCGAAGTAATGGATTGAGTTGTTTTCTACAATTTGCAAAGATTTAATGGATTAAATAAATCTAATCCTCATGTGCTATTGTTTTCTTAATCATAAAACTTTTAGCAATTATTTCACATGTTAGCTAACATAAATAAACTTTCAGTTTTGTGAAAAGTATTGTCAACTCTGGTTCTTCTCAAAATCAAGGATATTGTAAATATTCCACAAATGCTTTCTGAT